TAATTTGTTCAAAATAAAATCCACAATAAGTAAACGAAGAAAGTTACTTACACAGTACCTGTTTCTCTAAACTCTAAGAATTACTTGGACCAACAATTGACCAGAGTAATCAATATTTATAAATTATGATTGAAATCTATTTACTTTCAATATGACAGATTTTAAAATGTACCTATATTTGCCAAACTACATACATATGCAGATATATACATACGATACATACGATGTATTGAATATGTGAATTTTTTAATGAGCCTATAATCTCATATGTTAGTCTCTGATATGATCTTATTTGACTCAAATATCGCAAATATTCCAATCTAGTTTTATTGAACACTGCAAATAGTAAATATATTATAGAAAAACTAACAATGTAACTCTTTCGATACTCTTCAGTGGCGTATAAACAAATTAATGCCGTTTATTCCTATTTTGTTTTTTTTTTTTTTTTTTCGAAAGATAGAAACACCAGCATTTCTTCTTTCTCCTTTCTACCCTACGATACCAGACACTGTGAGTAGCCTGTTGCGTGTAATGAAAAGAATATGCATATTAACTGTAAAAACTAAAAACACAAACAACAAGAATCGAATGAAAATATAGCGGACTTAGAGTCAAGCTTTTAATTAAAAAGAATATCGCGGCGTGCACATAAATATTCACGCTAGTCAAATTCTTATACAAGTTCAGTTGCGATTCTTCTGTGGAGTCGTACAGTGCTTTACATGTTTTGTGCGGTCAGTGGCTCGTCAGTTGTGATACACGTACCTTTACTACTAAAATTCGTGAGTGATATTTAAAAAAAAACTGAAAAATCAAATTTTACTATATAAAAAAAAGTTAAGAAATTTATCAAGTTAGCAGTAATTAATTTGGGTTGTCGATGCGCCTTACAGTAATAAATTTCGATTCGTTGATTGATTAAATCTTTCATTTTTACTGACATTTTGAGAGACGCCAAAGTCAATACACCAGAAAAAATTTTGGTATCATGTGAGTATTTCTGGACTCTAAGTTAAACCGTTAGCTAAACACAGAGTGGGGCCGGCTTCATGTAGCGTCAAATTACATGTCTAATTAATTTATACAGATTTATTTATTTAAATTTATATTTTTATTTTATTGCTGTTTTATTTGGTTATATGGTTTCTGATTACAACTTCTTTCTTCTTTCTTCTTTCTCTACCTCGAACCGGTAAACGTGTCTTCTGTCTGTTCTGAATCAATCTTACTATATTACTATAAGTGTAGCAAAGCCAGGCTTCAAGTTATCACGGCTGTTCATTTTGTGCATAAACTGCAGAAATGAAGACAATAAAAATATCTGATAATATTAACAAAAATATATGTACATACATATATACAAAACTAAATTTGACTTTTAATACCCCCGAAAAAATAAAAATTAAAAATAAAGGAGAAAAAATTATATGCAAAACAATTGAAGTGGGTCAAATGTTCTGAATTTTAATTATGTATACGCGATTTTCGACAACGCAGGCATGACAAAAATGTTTTTAATTTTTGTTTTTATTATTGAATTTCATTTAATTTATTAATTTTTGTAGAATTTTTTTTATATATTTTTTTTTAATTTCACTATATATTTTATATATACAATTTATTTCACTAATTTTAATATTTATATATTTTTTTATAAATTCTGCTTAAGCATTAGCTGTATTTAAAACCAATTATTTATTATTCATTCTATGAGTACCAGTAAAAAACCTATTCTAATCAGTTGAACCGTAAAATTAACGCAATCAAATTTAAATGAAATATTTGCAATTTGAAAAATGTTATTTTTTAGTTTAGTTTATGACATTAGCAAATAATAATATATTATTTATGCAATATATTTCGCATATAAAAATGTACTCTAAAAATATTACTAATATTTTTTCGAATAGCAAAGAAAGAAGAAAACCCTCTAAATTTGAATATTACTTCTTTGCCACCATATAAAGAAAGCGTAGCTTTTTCAGCAACACTAATACTTACTTCTAATATTTTTATGTTTAAACTAATTTTTTTTGTAAATTTGTATGAATCATATTAGTTTCAAATAATAAAATTATCAAAAAATAACATTTTTTTAATTGTATTTATTTTTAGCAATATGAAAAATATTTATATAGATGTTTTCTACAGAAATTTACAATACTAGCGGTACTTTTATTCTAAGTTTTTTTTTTAACAATTTATTTTAACGAGCTAATTGGTCAGTAGTTAAACAATTTATAAAAAATTGTTTTTATTTAAAAAAAAAATGATTTAAATCGATATTTCGACTATATTCTATAGTCATCATCAGGGTACTATAGAATATTAATATAATGTAACAATATTTTAGTATATATCACAAGGAAACAATTATAGGATACATTAACATTAAAACATGAATTAAATATTTATATAGAATAAATAATTATACAAAACTTAGACAATAAATATAAAATACATATATAGAGGAATGATACCTTTGTTCAAAAAGACTTCATTATGCATGTGATTCCTTCATATTTTTGAGCGTTTTGGTCATATATAAATTTGTTCCTAATCCAGAATTATAATTTTTTCATACTATCAACCACGCCAAACAAAATTTACAAATAAATCCAAAGGGATGGTAAATGGTATGAATTCGGAGAGTTTTTTGATTGATTTGCAATAACGATATTCTCCTTTTTTAAGGTTTTTGTGCTTTTTGTGTATCTTTTTTAAAAGGTTTATTTAAAACAAAGAATTATAAACAAAGAGTTATGTTATCAAAGAACACTAAAAACTAATTCTTTTGGAGGTAACTTAAAATGTCCAAAAATACCTCTTGTATATCATCCGATAAGAGAAGCCCAATTGTTAAATAAATAAACATTAATTGGTAAAATAATTTATAAAATAAATTTATATTATTTTAATTAATTATAATTATTTCTTTATTTTTATATTTATTTATACAATTAATTAATTGATTGCGAACATAAAATAAACAAGAAAAAAAAAGAGAAAGACATTAATTAATAAATGTAATAAATTATTTCAATGATACAATTTATTTATACTTGTTAAGTCTATTCAAAATTATTACACCGTGAATCTTCAGAGATATGTGCTTCCGTAAAGCTTTTTTAAGAACATTCAAAAAATATTCGGATTATTTCGTATTCTTTTTTCGAATGTGTTTATTTTTATTATTTTTTATTATATTGTAATATTATTTATATAAGTATTTATTATCTATATAAATATCGTCAACATTTTGATTTTATTTTGACTCTTCTTCAGGGCAGAGTGTTATAAAAATGAAAGAAAACTAAAATAATACTACTAAAAATTAACTCAAAATTCTTCCAATATTATTATTTTTAATTGACGGCCATTTCAGAAGTTTTTAATTTATTTGTATTGAAAAAAAAAAATTAAAAAATATTTATTATGTTTTTACAATTAAAAATTTTAAACAAACAACAAGAACTGGTTCACTTAACTGATCACATCATTGCTTCCCAAGAATATTACAACTAAATTTTTATCCAATATATTATATATTGGGAGTGTTTCCTTAAGTGAAATATAATCTAAAACCAAACAGATTGTGAGAACATTTTAACAATCTGCCTAAATTTTATTGGTCTATAATAATGAAAGTTATTTATTAACAAGGTACTTTGCAATAAATTTAAACTACATACGAACTAATCTGTTAAAGCTATAACTGCAAGATCTTAACCTTATAGCCTGATTTTATTAGGAAATTATTACATGGAATCATAAGTTATTTTCATGTGTAGCTCAATATCGGAGTACATTTCTAACATTTCATTCTATAACCAGATATAGAGACTCTATATCTCTGCTATAACCTTGTGCTTTATGTTTTCCCGGCTTTTCCTTTGAAATGATTATAAAGTGAGTATTTCTTATAGTCAACATATCATTAGTATGTTGCAAGCAATAGTCCGGTACTTTTTGATGATGATTTTTTGTTTAATAAAAGAAAAACCATGGCACTTCTTACTACCCTTACCCTTTATTCATAAAATAAAACAATATTAAAAATTTTAAATATATTTAAATTTTAAATTTTAAAACTGTGATATCTATCAAACAATGAGAAGCAAAAATAATAGAATGAATGAGGAATCTATGTAAAAATTTTTAAACAATTGAAAACAAATAAGTTCATTATAACAATAAATAATGTCTGTGTAATTGAATAATAATTAAATACACAAAACAAAAGTAAAATTCATAAATCTCTGACTCATGAAATAAGATTATTGTACAAGATTAAAATATTTAATATATAAAAATGAGTTATTTGCATAACATTTAAATAAACATATAAAATAATAAAATAGTTAACTTTACAAAATGAGTCTGCTACATAAGCGGTGTGCAGTGGTTTGTAAGGGATTTTTTAGTAGGTCACATTTTACTGCTCCAACAGTAGTTAAATATTTCGTCTAGTAAAAGTATCTAAAATAATATATCCAAATCTTAACTATTTGGCTTTAGTTTCTGTAATATTGTTCAATATGATAATAAAATTCTCGAACAAAAATTAAGTTAAATACTAATCCAACTTATAAAACAAGCGTCTATTAAATATAATGTATTTTAATTAAATACTTTCATGAAGATTCCAAAATTAATTTGATGCTTATGCTAATCTATATAATTTGTATATATAATTTCAAAAAAAAATTTATGCATTTTAATATTTATAAAAAAAAAATATATATATATATAACTTCTATTTTAATCTAAATATGCAAAGGTAATACTAAAAATTACGACGAACACTTAAGTGGATTACAAGGTCTGCTTACCAAATAATACAAAAGCTTGATATATGTGCATTATTAATCATATAAAATTATTTTTTCATAATCAATTTCTTTCTTAAGTTATTTAGCAATTTATTAATTATATTTAATAATCTGAAAGTATTAATATTAATACTAAATTTTAAAATTTAGTAAAAAATTAATCAAACCTATTTAATTAAACAGGTCTGAAAAGGGATGTATATAATACTTAACACTACTAATAAAACCTATATAAGTTATTTATATTATTTGATATCGCTGATCAATAAATAACTATTAATATACTTTATTTTAATCAATCTTGTAAAATCTGAAATTTAGCTAGAATTGAAGCAGTTTCTACTCTATTCATAAACAAGGTAAATATATTATTTAGCACAGCTGTCGCATTTATAGCTCATATTTTACTTTTCCATTTTTAGACAATCATATCATTATCCTTTTAAAATCAACATTTTTTTTAATAATGTTCTCTAATCTTTTAGATAATAACTAACACCACAAAAATTTATTTATTAACATTTTCGTCCCAACTCGTGCTAATTTATGCCGAGATATATCTCTTTTACAATTGCGATGGATAATTAACTAACAAATTTAACACATGAATAATTTATGCTGTCCCTGATTTTGATATAATACTAATAAATATTTTATAAACCAACGTATTTTGATGAACCACTGAAATTCAATGCATCCCAGTCAAAGATACGATACTATAAAATATACTCCTATACTGAGTGCAATAAATATTGAAACGCCTTTCACATGGACTCCTAACGATGTTTTCCATAGACTCAAGTAAGCCTAAGCTATAGTGATACACTCTTTTGTTAGCTGTAACGCTTCACAGTTTCAATTCGAATACATATCCTTGTGCTCCATTTGTCTTCATTTGTATACGTCTGAATTAAATTTTGTTCATATATATATCTATATAGTTGGCTTTATTTAAATAATTGTTCTGTTAACTTGTAAATGTTTATTATAATCAATAATTTATTCAAGACAATTGATGTTGGTATGTATTTAAAAACAAAACAAAGAACTAAGTGTTTATTATTGGGAGTAAAAATAATGTATAAAAAATGAGTAAAATAAATAAATAAATTAAATAAAAAATGTATTAATTGGATTAAATAATATTGGAAGCAGACT